TTTTTTTTGAGAAGGTAATATTGTAATTATTTTTAATAGATGAGGATATTTTTGAAATAAAAATAAAAATTCTTTTGTATTTTAAAAAAAAGAGAAGAAAAAGCTTTTCATAGGAGCTTTTCGAAGCTTTTTTTTTTAAAATTGTATTCTTTAAAAAAATTATTTTTTTTAAAAAAAACTTTTTAACATTTATGTTTAACCTAACTTTTACTTTTAAAAAATAAATAAACTAAAAAAAAAACTAAGTTAAACAAAATTTAACTCTATTTTTATATTTGCTTATTGTGTGTTTGTAATGATTTTTAATTTGGCCAACTCAACTTTGAATTAAGTATTTTAATTGCATGTTAATTGTAAGCTGTGTAGATTATTTTTATTAATTTGTTATTTTAATAACAAAATTTACTTTTTTAGGGATTCTTATGAATTTTTTGTTGGTAAACCGTTTCCAACGAAAAATTCTATTGGAAATTATCGATAGATTTTCCAATGAAAATTTTCGTTAGTATTGGTTTCCAACGAAAAATTTCAAAGTTACTAACGAAAATTTTCGAAGGAAAATCTATTGCAAATTTTCAATGGAAACTTCCATTAGAAACTCCGTTGGTAATTTCCAACGGAAGTTTCCGTTGGAAACCCGTTGATAATTTTCAACGGAAACTTCTGTGGACATTCGTTGGAAACTTCTAACAGAAAATTCTATCAGTAAATTTGTTGGAATTTTTGTGTTTTAGGACAAATTTTGTGAAAAATAATATATTGAAATTTAGCTTTTTTTCAACAGATTTATGTATATTTCCAATGAAAATTCCTTTGCAATTCTGCGATAGAGTTAAGATAGATTTTTGACGAAAAGTATTTTTGATAACACTTTAGAGACCAAATTTTCAATGAAAAATTCTATTAGAAATCCATCAGAAAAAGTATTTCCAACGGGAACTTAACTATTTCATATGAAAAAAGTTCCATCGGAAAAAGTTTATTTTTTTGTAGTGAATAAGCTAATTGCTTAGCAACATATG